ATCTTGAGAAAATTTACATCTTTGTAACGTTTTATTGTTTTATTCATAATTAAAATTTGATCTGAGTTTTCCAAAAAGTTAATACTCAAATTTTGAAGAGTATGACAACTAAAAATTGCAAAAAAATTGTTCCTTACCAGTCAACTTGGGATATGCTTCGCATTCTTTTTCAGAGTAAAACACAATCACACTAGAGTCTAAAGCAATTGTGATCCAGCCCTGTTTGGATTACCAAATCGTTAAGAATAGTCGGATATGCAGTAAAATTGCATGCAAAAATAAAGTTATGTATTTTAATCCAAACAGACACATAGCAATGACAGAATTGTTATTTACACTTAACTAATTATAACTTATTTACACTCCAAAAAAGATTAACTTCGCCTCATAAATTAACAAATTTTGTCTTTCATTTCATTTAGTTAAAAATATTGTCATTAAATTTTAACAACGAAAAAATTTCCCCTTTCAAGCTCTTTTGGTTTAAGTCTCAAAACACTTACAGTTTATTTTGTGCGGTATTTCTTGTTATACAAACAATTACATGTATAAAAGGAAGTAGCATACAAATGTTATTTGTGAACACTCTGTACACTTGACATACCCTAGGGGACAAAATATTGTGTGTTCCATAGCCTACCTGCAATTCTTCCAAGGAAAGCTAGCCTCTTATCCCCTTTATTTACAATTCAAAACAAAATATGTTTTAACACGCAGGGAAACTTTAGTTTCAAAGCCATTGACCCCTCATACATAACCAATTATGATCACAGGTCACAGTCGGACCATCATCGGTGTGGAAGTGCTGCGGGACGAGACGGTGATACTGCTAGTGCTAGACCCGAGCCACACTCCGCAGCAGATGAGCGAGCTGCGAGCCACCAACACTGCGGTGTCAGCTATGCGGCTCATACGACGCTCGCTGGCCAACATGAAGGCCCGTCACTACCAGGTGGTGGCCGTGTGCGGCATCATGGACACCGACACAGAGTACCAGGTAGGTCGACACTTCTCAAGTCAAATAATCTTATCCATGAGCACATATAAATGTATATTGAATGGTGTAAACTAAAAACTGTTTGTCTATGGTTAGAACTAGATGCCCCCTTCCTATAATATATTTTTAGCTGGTCTTAGAATATAAAAAAATGTTTTATAGAATTTTATGACGTCAGGTAGGCCTAATCCTGCTATCCTCACAAAAATTGTGAATAATTTAAATAAATTTGTCTAAACTAAACTAAATCTAGACTGGCTGTCTTACATAAACAAATTACAAAATAGCTTTCTTCTGCTATATTTCCTCCCAAAACAACTTTGTTTTTTATTTTTTTTTATTTAAGCCCGGGAAATGGATGTACAGTAGAACTCCGATTATCCGAATCAATAGGGACCAGACCCCATTCGGATAATCAAATATTCGGATAATCGGAGTTTTACCGGAATTCCGGGAATTTCAAAGATAAATCCTAATTTTCGGTACTAAGTGAACTTTTAATTAATAATAAATTAAATCAGGACATTTTTACAGTTTACAATGCTCTTAGAACAAGTGTTCTATACATGTTATTAAGTTAATAGTTTAGCCAGTGTGTAATTTTGGTGTTCCATCAAAGTCCAAAATTACTCACTGGCTAAATGTGTTTAATAACAATTCTTTGATATTTTGCAAAACTTATTACTATTGCTTTACGTTTTTAAAATTGTTGAAGTAAGCGATTCGGATAATCGGAGATTCGGTTAATTGGAGTTCGGATAATTGGAGTTCTACTGTATGTTTTTATGTTATCAACTGCTTATGTTATTGTGATTGCAATAATGTTATATTTATGTTTAAATATTCAGTTGGAAATTTTTCACTTTTTAAAGATTATATTGTTGACAGTAAATATAAAAATATATTTTAAGCACTTTGTCATAGTTGTATATATGTATTTAAAGCCTATATTTGACTCTATTCAATACATGTTATTTTGTGTATAACGGATAAAGAATTATTTGATTTGAACTTTTTAAGCCTTGCGTAATAAAACTCAATAACAATTATTTTTTATTAATGTCCCTTGCATTTTTTGTGTAGGTAAATTCTTTCCACATCTAGGCCTAATATAATTCTTGAGTTACGTTTTAACTAGTTGCTTACAAGTTTACATACCAACATTTTTTTAACCCTCCAAGTGTCTAGTTTTGGTCTGAATGTTCGCCCATTTATTGCGCAATCGCAGGGTTTTATTAAAATGTATCTTAGAAACTTAAAAACAATGTAAAGTATACTGTTTTATATATAATTTTGTTTGGAAAATTATGGGCTTCAATGAAACATATAAAACATTACAAAAAAAATGTTCAACAATTTTTGTGGGGTTAACATTTCTCAAAAATTATAAAATAAATGAAAAAAATGTATGTTTGCGCTCAATAAATTGTTATAATATATAGGTCTGAAAATATTTTAAAAAAGCCACTTTGTTCAGAATTTTATGAGGATTCCAATAATATAATAATATAAGGAAGTAGGTTTGCAAATAAATAAGTTATGGGCAAAAAACAGATTTCGGTACATAGCGTTTAGCTAAGAATGCATAGCCTAACCATAGCTAGGAATCTGGCTGATAATTTACATCAATATCACCTTATCTTCTTGTTTAGTTGAGTTAATGAAATAAAATGCTCATAAAACACCCTAAACACATCAAAATCATACATACCTAAAAATTAAGTTTACAAAATTAAATAAAAAAATATAAATTTGGTATTTAATCACCCCCCCCCCCTTTACCCGCCTCTTTTGGAAAACATTACTGATGTTAACTTGAAAAACTGTTTATAACTTAGTCGGTAGTCCAATACCCGGATCTGACCATCACCAATTTTAAAACATGTGTTTCAAACTCCGATGTAAACGTGGCTCACTGATGTTCTTCTTTCAGCAAAGTAAAGTGCTTAGATCTATGAGAGTACCTCAAGAGCGATGATGGAGCTAGCGGAACGTCAGAGCTACCTCAGATTCACGGATCTTCTCTAGAAGACGGAACAGAAACCAAGATTCTCCGCTTGACCTCGCCCAGGGATTGACCCTTGTTAGACATGCTTACTATGCAAGCAGGCTTACTTACTTTCTAGTCACTTAATTAGACGAGATTATCTCTTAAGTACGTTTGCATCAAATCATTACAATTTTGCACCTTTGTTCATTATATTGTGAGTTGAATCGCAAGTCGTCTTTTTGTAACCCACCTCCTTTATTGTAAAAATTCTGCCTGTATTACGAGGAAATGTTTTAGGAGAGAAAAATAGAAGCTATAGAATAAACAAAGGAAAATGTTGGGTTAGGTTCATCTCAAAACATTTTGTGAGAATCTAGTTTAAAAATGGTATTAGGCTACTATTAATTAACTTTTAATTTTGTTGGTTTTTGATTATGCATGTAAAAAGGATTTTCACACATTATACTTTTAGAATATAAAATAAATTATACCGTATATCTAAGAGATAATTTTTTTAACCATACTGTAATATTTGCTTCAGAATGTCTGGTCATGTGAAGACTAAAAGTGTTTTGCAGGTTGAAGGTAATATGCAATCATTTCAGACCTTTTGGAGGAAATAAGATACTGATTCAGACAAAGCATCTACTTTACTAAAACCTCTTTCTAAAGTTTCATAGCTATTAAGTGCAATGAATACAAAACATAAGAAGCACAATGCCTTTGTTAAAAATTCAGTCTGGGAATATTTGATAGTTCCCAAGGCGGCTGCTATGTAGACTAAAGCGAGTGTGTGGCCAAGTCAGCTGACTGAGTAAGACAAAGAATGGGCTTGGAGAGAAAGAGAGAGTGGCAAAATTCCAGTTTGAATATTCTCCATAAGCAATTCACTTCTTAAAAGGTTTGTATTCATTGATAAGTGGCAACAATATTGTCTTTATTGTTGTTGATGACCAACAATGAAACTAAAATTCAAAAATTGTACTACCCATGTTTAGTTCATAGGTTTTGAGATTTTTCAAAATAATTTATAATTTGTGGCTATAATTACAGTGAAGTGAAAATCGGCATTTGCAACTCGGCCAAAAAATATTTATTAACTGTGATTGTTGCCTAAGCGTTAAACTTATAAAACATGATCAAGGGTCTGCAAACCCTCGGTCCAGTCCTTGGCATAAAATATTATTTTATCTTGCAGTAATGAAAACTACCGAATAAAAACACTTAATGTTGGTGAACAAACATGGTCACCTCTTGTTTCTGTTGTTTGCTAAATTGATATCTAAAAGGTTCATTCAATGGCTATTACTTTTACTAGTTCGATGGGAATTATTTCAATAAACAAGTATATTGAAATGTTTCAGCTTGTGTCTAACTCTAACATAATGTTTTATTTACTCTTGGCTGCAGTTCTTATTAGCTCTAACTTAATTTAACTTGGCATTTACCATTCATTGCCATGTTATTCAGAAAAGTCCTTTGAGGGGTGAAATATCTGGAAAAATGACAACAGTGCTATCATTAAGTGTACAATGTGAGTTTCACTATAATTAATCATCTGATCGACCATACTGTACAAAACAAGGGTTGTTGGACACTGGATAGAGTGCAAGGCGAGAAGGCAACTAGTCGATGGTAAAGGGGCCCAGCTGACATTGAGAATGGTGAGGAGGCTATAGGCTCGATTAGGTTACGAAGCGTTCATAACTTGCAATTGATTCTTCAACTTCCTAGTTATACGTTTTTACTGTTCTAGTTGTAACTTTAGTTTTCATACATTAATAATCCAACAATCTCGAACCTAGTTTTAAAATGTACTACCACTATTTACATGATTCAACAATAATTTACAAATGGTAATTCAAAGTACCGATAACATTTCATTGGTTTCTGAATTAGGGAAGTTTTAATAATGCATGATTCACTATAATATCTTTGATAAAAACTAAACTTGAGCATTATCTAATACTATACTATATCGACAGATTTTACAAGGATATTCTCATTAAAACATTTTTAACAATTTTTCTCTCAACTTTATTTTTAACAATGATACATTTTCCTATATACATTTAATCTGCATTAAAATAAAATCCGTATTAAGTTTTGTGATTCCATGGCAGTTTTTAAAGCTAATTAGGTTTTGCGTATAAAATAAAAATGTGTTCAAAACACGACAAGGATTATTTACAGAGGCGGATGAGGTAACTAAAAGATACAGTATTGTCCAATCTATAACAGCATTGTCTGTGGGTCCTCTAGTAGACTCTTGAATGCTTGTAGCCACTGTGCACCGACGGCACCGTCCACTACGCGGTGGTCGCAACTAAGCGTCACGGAGAGAATGTCTGCCGTCTTACTGTGGAACATAAATACACAATTGTGATTGGTGGTTTTGACTCAAGCAGTACCTAGTATATATAATTGGGGTGTTTCATAGTCCCATAATGTCCACAACTAAATTAATGAGTATTTCAATGTTGAAGTACCATATACAAACTACAGTGCAACCAAATCATATCGTAATGTCTGAAGACACAATTTTAGAAAAGTTTAATATTTGTTTAGGAAATGGTACTCTGAGTCTGAGCACATTATGAAACTTGGAACTTTTTAAGATTCCTTAATTTAGTTTTAGACAGTGCGAGACTTTTCTTAGGGTTTAGGTTGTTATGTATAAGTATTTTATTGCATAAAACATTCTTCATTACAAAGGCAATGGTGAACAGATGCATGGTCGATCAATAAGTTCAAAATCAAAAACTAAAAATACACTCTAGTAAGAAAAAAAAATGAACATCGATAGAAGATGTTTCTAAGATTTTATAACAAAAACCCACTTACTGTAAATGCAATGTGAAGACTTACCCATTGGGTGATTCTTTATCTGGAATAATGCGTTTCTGGACGGATCCAACAGCGAGTATACAAGCTTGAGGGGGATTGATTACGGCAGAGAAGTTCTTGATTCCAAACATCCCCAAATTTGAAACTGATATTGTGCCACCCTAAAACAAGTATTTTGGAATATTATATTTCTCCTCACACAGACATAAACACAAATTGAATAACTTATCAAATTAATTTGGTAACCACCTGTTGTTATAGTTTAGAACGATGGACATAATAATTACTTACTTAAGTTGATTAAACCAGTAAGAACAATTTGGTCAAATATTGCTCAACAACAATTCAGGTTACTATAGTCATAGTCATTACTGTACACCAAAAATATGTAAAATAAAAACATACTCAAATGACACAAGAACTACGGAAAGTCTATATATGGCCTATATTGTCAATCTATCTTTATGGTAGAAACAAAAATACAACAAATTAAAAAAATTCAGAAATAATTATGTATTAGGTCATTTAAAAGATGTATTATGATTGTATCACCATATTACATGGGAAATATGGAAATGAAGTAACTTACATAAGATTAAAGATATAACAAATGCCAAATTTACAAAACATCTATTTCATTAACGAAGGTGTTTCTACATAGCAACTTGAGATTTTAAATCTTACCTGGAACTCCTGAGGCTGTAGTTTACCTTCCTTGGCTTTGTTGGCTAACCTTTTCACATCATTGCTAATCTCTACGAGTCCTTTCTTGTCTGCTTCGAACACGATCGGCGTGATAAGCCCAGTGTCTGTACTCACTGCCACACTCACGTCAACAGAGTGATATCTGCAAAATCACACTTACATCAAGAAAAATTAATCATTTCTTGAACGTTTATTATTAGTTAATGTTTGTGATGGCTTGTATTGAAAAAAGCTACAATAAATTTAACAAAATGTCAAGGCAAAACATAAATATTTGTTTAGTCAATCGTCAAACTTAAGCTAGCCTATCAGGGATATTATACTTTTAGAGGTCACCAACTCCTATATTTGCCGTGATAGTATAGCCGTTCAAAATTTGAACTTATCTTCAAAATATGTCAAGCAAAGGAACATTCAAATAGCATAAATGATTACTTTTATCATCATTTGAATGTTTTGTGTTTCAACACCATTGACACCATTTTTAAAAGTTTTTTGTAAGGGAATGTCCAATCCCTGGTCTTGTTACTATCCAACGCAACGCCAACCTTTTGTTCGATAGCATCACTAACTGATAGCTAACTCATTGTATCTTGGTCTAGAAACAATCTTGCTTGGAATCAAACCAGCCACCATCAAATTTGAAGGCGAGCACTTAAACGCTGCTACCGAGACAATACATTTTGACATGGATTTATTAAATCACAATTTCAAACAATTGAAGACAAATTTTCATCTTCTAAGCGATGTTAATCCCATGAAGGATTACATTATTAGATGTCAAAACATGTTTATACAAAAAAAAGAGATAGATTTTAGCTAGCTTACCTTAGAAAAATATAGCCCTGAGGCTAATAGATAAATAATAAAAGGTGACAACACATCACACTGACATTTCATCCTAAATTTAGGACTTCTTATAGAAAAGATTAAGGAAAATTTATGAAAAATATATTAGGAACTCTTTAAAGAAGTCTTGTATTGGGATTGAATATTCGTGTTATGTTTTATGAATTTTTACTGTATGACTGTATGCATTTTTTATCTATTAATTCCAGGAAATAGCTTAACTTAGCTGAATCACCAAACTCTACCCGTCTAAAAACTAATAACCACCTTTTCATTTCCCTTTCAAATCAAATAGCCTATGTTTTGTATTGAAGGTTCCTAAATCTAAAATGCATAATGTTTGTCCAGTGGTCGAAAACTCGACACTATAATTTCACCCCACACTGTAAATAAAACATGTATTTGGAATTTCTTCCGTTTGTTTTGAATTTCTGTTTATATTTCGTTGTTATTTCATATTATGTTGGTGATGACAACCCACAAAGCCCATGTTAATTTTTTTTATTTTAAAATTATTTTTTGAGCTTTTTTTAGCCTATTTCAATTTATAAAGGTATTCTGCACATATACAGGCAAATATCTTTCCAAAAATATGCGTAGATTTTCCCTACAATGCACACGAGCTGAGAAAAAAAGATTTTAAAGAAAGCTTGCCTATTTATATATGGATAACATCTTTATATAAAGAATGTACTATGCTGATCTGAAAAGCAATACTAACTCTCTAATGACCGAGTCCATCCAGTGCGAGTTGGCTTCAGGAACTTTTTTTGATGCAAGAGCTGTGGCTTTGATAACAAAGTCATTCACACTCAGCTTCACTCCTTGCTTCTCCAGCAAACTGTTGATCTTCGTTCTAATCTTCAGGACTTCATCAACATTTATGTCCACTGTGAGGTAGTAGTGGGGTATTGTCTGCAGAATCACAAAAAACATGAGAAAGCAGTGTAAATATCATTAAAACTATCCTGGGGATTTATTTTACTGAATAATATTCTGCCTAAACAAGTGACTTTCGTTTGAGTTATCAGTTATAGGTAATTTTATTTGGGATGCATTGCACAACGTCCAATAATATTTTTCAGTGTCACGACGTCCAAAATATAATTTTTGAGCTGTTGCACGACATCCAATATAAAATTTTAGACTGTTGCACGATTTTTCAAGTGCCACGACGTCCAAATGTAACTGCAAAATATATAGTCTCTCTCTCATCTCCTTAAAATAGAAAATCGGTCAAATAAAGTATAACTATTGAAGTTATAAATAACCAACCAGGGGTGGACCCAAGGAAGACATAGGGGGTTTGTACCTCCCTCACTAAAGATTTGGGTGAAAATGTATATTTAATTATTGGTTTTAAACGTTTATACATTTTAAAAGTGCTCTGCAAAGCCTAAACCTGTAGTAATTAGTACCTATATTTTATTTAAAACATTTTTGGGGTGAGAAAGCCTGTACGCCCCCTTACAAATTACAAATTTTCTGGATCCACCCCTGTAATTAACCAGGGAGTTTTTAATTTTCAAAATAAAACAAAAAACAGCAAAACTGCAGCAAAAACTGATGTTTTCAATTCATGTGTTGCAAGGCTAAATAGTTCTTTTTATTTCTAAGTAAAAAATAATTAGCTTGAATCGAGGTATGAGCTCTAAATTTTCATGTTCCCTTCTACATACTAAAATTTACCTGTAATCATGCATAAAAAAATTTTCAAAAAGATCTAAGCTCACCTGTTTGGACTGGAGTAGGCGTTTAGCAATGACAGAACGGATGTTGGAAATGGGCTTGTCTGTGTGAAGGGCCCCAGGAGCAGCCCCTACAGCTGGTGAAGGCCCTGATGCAGGCCCCGCCTTGCTCAGGTCCCCCGCCTTGACTGAGCCAAATAGCCCTGAGCCCCCACTCAGGCTCTAGACACACAGAGCAATACAGAAATGAGCAGACAACTTTAACTACAGCTCTTAGAGTTAATATATAACTTAAAATTCTTAACAAAACATAACTCATTGTAAAAAAATTTACTATACTCAATTTTAATAGTTACAGTGAAATTCATTTAATCTGGAATGTACGAGACTAAATGCATGCCAGATTGAGAAATATTCAAAGTTAGGGGATAATAATAGGAAAAATTGGAATTAAAAGGTTATAATATGAATACATACCTATACTTTTTTTTCTATGTTTAATATTTTATCAGTTATGTTTTATTTTTCCAGCTATGCTGAGAGAGAACAAACCAGTTACTATCATAGTATGAAAAACTATGAGCAACTATTGGTGCAGTGGCAAAACGTTTTATTTCAGCTTCGATTATTAACACAACCTGACATTCCATCCCCAGTCTACTAGAAAAATTTGTAGTCAGATTTTATTATCAAAATTGTTGTAGTTGATGTGAGCCACCTATAGATTGTACTGATCTAAATTACTAAATTCTGTCAATACACAAACTTGTTTACCAAGTCAAACCTAAGGAATGACTTATGATGAGTTATAGCAACTGTTATGACCCATCAACCTGGTCAGCAACAAAAAATAAGGTATAAAATAGTTTTTTTGACACTAGTGCTCTGTAACTGGCTACGTTCTTCTTCTACACAACTACGTTCTTTTTTAATAAAAACGTGGCGACAGCTTGTCCCTGTAGATGGGTCTAATTCAGTAGGTGATGTTTAATTTCAGTAAAGTTAATGTAGACCAACAAATCAACATTGCAAAACATGAGAAACTTACCTCCAAACTGAGTCCTTTTTCAGCAGCCAGCTTCTTGGCTAGAGGGCTGGCGTAGACCCTAGAACCAGACGAGGCAGAAGGGGGAGCAAAGGAAGGGGTGGAGGGGGGAGCAAAGGAAGGGGCAGATGGAGGAGGGGTAGAAGCAGCGGGGGGAGGCGGGGGAGGGGGAGCTGATGTGGTCGTAGGTTTACTGGGGGCAGCAACTGATCCATCGTCCTTGAAATCTTTAAATGCTTCTACGTCACTTTCATTCTCTACAATAATACACACCAGCTGTAAAAGGAAAAATTTACATTCCAAAAGTGCATATTAGTTGTGATAGTAATATAAATATAAATCTAACTAAGATGCAAATAGGATAACTATGAGGTCTTTGCTCTACTTTTAAAATTTTATTGCCTTTAGTGCTACCTATATAAAATGGCGTGAGATTGTTTTAGTAAAATATCCAGCCAAAATAATGTATTTGTCAAATTGACTGTGGAAAAGTTAAAAATTACTTCATTTTTTGTTGTGGTGTTTCCGGACTAATTGATTGACAAATAATTAAAAAGGTTAAAATACCTGATGACGCCTTGTGGTCTAAAGTTTGTCCTATCCAATATCCATATAATTTACATAAGCCAATTAGAGATGGGAAATACCGTTACTTTTCAGTAATAGTCAGGAACATTCCTTAGTTGTTTTTTTTTTTGTAATAGGTGAAATAACACTATTAAACACCTATTATTTCTCCTTCTAGCGTTATTTCACTTGTTCGGGTACTAGGACTCTATAAAAATAATATGATTCTCAGTCAACTATTACCAAGCGCTCGCTATTAATTATTAGGATTAATAGGTCGGCGTTATTTCACCAGCTTGTTCTAACGGTTCAGGAAACGTACAAAAAAATAATAGGGTACTCTCAGTAACCTGTTACCAAGGTAATAGGTGAATCTTCAGTAATAGTGTTATTTATCCTATTACGTTATATAACGCCCACCACTAAATCCAATAGGACAAACTTTGGACCACAAGGTGGCAATTAGGTATTTTAAACTTTTTATTAATTTTATTTGTTAAAATTTACTGTTTAAAGCATTGCTAAAAATGTAAACACTGGCAATTTATAGGTTGAAGTAAGTTTACGTTCATGAATTTTGCAACAAAATCTCAATCCTAAAAGTTGATTGACAGCCGAAGAAATATTTTATTTTACCAAAATACATCAAGTTCTATGCAGAAACAAGTTTTTCCGACATTTTGAAGACCAAAAGGTAAATACTTATAAATATAAAAGGATTAATTTAATAACAAAATACTGTAACTAATGTATTTTATAATGACATTTTGGATGAAATTGTAAAACAAAAACACCACTTTGAATTGAATCATATTCAAGATTATTAAGGCCTACAAATTACATGAATAAATTAGCTGTGTGAACTGTAAATGTCGAAGGTATAAGCTAAATGGTTAAATTGAATTACCCTGCCTATAGGGACATCCTTTGCCCCTGCAGCAACCAATATTTTTGCCAGATATCCTTCCTCTGGTGTTTCAAAACCCATTGTTGCCTTGTCCGTCTCAATCTCTGCTAGCAGATCTCCTTCATTGAGTTTGTCCCCTGCAAAATACAAATACTCTAAATCCTTTAAAAATTCAATTAAGTTCCTTTGCTTCTGGAAGATAACCACCTCCCTACAAGGTGAGTGATTGGCCTTGGGATATAGCATGTGATATATCAAGTAACAACAGTTTATTCCAGTACCTAAGGCAATTAGTAAAATACCCACCGCAGCAAACCTGCAGACTAAGCGAATTTCAATTTACCTGTTGGATTTCTACTAACACAGTCCATTAAAATTGTCAGACTTTTCTGATTTAAGTTAAATTAATTTTAGTGAGTACTTAGGTCTGCTGCTACAGGGAAGGTATTGAGGTGTGTTTTATTGAATGTTTATAGCTTACAGTAGACTCCCTCTTATCCGGACTCCTCGGGACCAAGGTCAGTCCGGATAATAAGGTTTCTGTTTAAACAGACGCACCCAAAAAACATGTTAAAACAGACCCTATAAATTCATACTGTACACATATTTGACTTGAATTTAGGAGAGCATTCTATTTAGACAAGTGATCACTGGTCTCAAATCTTTCCCACGAGAACAGTCGATTCAGTACCGCCCACTTCCTGCCGATCTAGTCCGGTTAAACCGATGTGCTGATAAAAATTGTCCGTTAAAGAGATGTCATTTCCGCTGAGTGTTGTCCGGTTAAAAGGTGTCCGGATAAGGGGGAGTCTACTGTAGTATGAAATAAACAAAATTGCCAAATTGATTAAAATATATCCACAAACAAGCAAACTACAACAGTGTATTTATTCTCTATAAGAATAACATGGGAATTTTAAATTAAAATTTTTTTGAATTATGTCCCTAACCGTTGGGCATATAACAACGCTTCAATATACATGCCCTAAAAATTTCGCGCAGGTCGCTTTCTAACCGGCTGAAGTCACTCTCCACTAGATATCCGGTTACTTGATGACTTTTTCACATGTATAGCCTACAAACTAGCGAGTATGGTATTATTCAGGTTAACAACGTACATCCTGGCCCTATGAATGGTACATAGAGCAAGAAAAAGTAGACTGATGAAAATTGTAATAACCAATAGGTCAGGCCTACAACATATGTAACAAATATAATGTAAAAAATAAAATTTAACTTTAATGAATTGATGCTTGATGTAAAATCATATTGATTACATTGAAACTATTTAAACATTTTATTTTTGATGCATTCAAAAAGAAATATTAAAACTGATAAACTGTGAACAGTCTTGATTATCACTGGCCATAATTAGCAAAATAAGCCAAGAGACTGTCTTACAGTTCAAGGTCGCCATTTCATCTAGGGAGATAATATTCAACCTTCAGGAAAATCATTGACGCTTGTATGTTTTTAAGAGAAAATTGCACTTTTAAGTCTTAAATTAAACATGAAATTTATTTTTTAATAAAGTATGCAAATATGTACTATGAAATTTAGAGAAATAATTCATTGCTATTTGAAGGATAGTTGTATTAAATAAATCCACTGATAGGAAAAATTTGAAATAGAGGTGCATAAAATATAAGTCCAATTTAGTGAACGAATACCACAGGAAAAACAGTGGCGGGAACAATTTTTATAACTAAAATATATATTATCGTTATAAGCACAAACAATTATTAGATTTTGCTAGGCAAATGTTTTCTACTGTGGGGTGTTTACACTTATTTGTAATGAAATACTGTACATTGAATTATCACATTTCAATTCAAATGTTGTATTTCATTGTTTACGATAGGCCTAGTTAAAATATCATTTGCAGTTGACTTCATTCCAAAAATAGATTATTCATAAATTACAAAATAAGTAAATTGGGTACAAAAAGCAAAAGTGATGAGGGAATTACTATCAATTTTTTTTTTATTTTACCATTGCCTTCTGTATTTAACCTTCTGTATAGGCTATGTTATTGTTGGCGGAAATATCTATTTTATTATAATGGACAACAAACTCTCACTAATAGAGTTTAAGACCATAATCTGTCTTGAATTTAACTGTATATGGTTTGACAAATTACTTTTATATTATAAGGTCACACAATAAGCATCTCTTTTCATCAAACAAAGTTTCAGATAGGGGCCTAATAAAATTTCAAGAGGCACGCATCATTATACAAATTGTAATAAAGGTTCAATTGTTATTCAGCATTTTATTTTTTCAGTATCCATAATATGTTATTACGTAGACATATAACTTATTAAAAAACATATTATGTAGACAAAACCAGGATTGTTCGGAAAATTTCCCCATTTGATCACATTCGATTTTACTGTGTCTCAAAAATATGGGACACAATAGAAAATCCCACCATTCGTACCAAGTGTGGGGTATGAACTGTAATAAGATTTATAACTGCAAAAATGTAATTGGTCGCAGTTATTTATCCAGAACTGTTCAGTATATGGACTAAATGCAATGAGTGAAGGTGTAAAGATAGAAGATGAATGGCTAATTTAACCTTACAAAATAAGTAGGCCTACTACACGTTATTGAAGTTGAAATATAGGTTAGTGAACCTACACTTACCCTTCCTAATCCAACCAATTTCAAAACACTTAATACAGCTACAAATCTGCTTAAAGCCCAACCCGCCTTCCCCACAAGAATACAATTCCGTAGAGAACCTGTAATATACTAACGGATCAAATAACTATCAATATACATTGATTTTGATTCGGTTGAGTTGTGATCTGTTTATATTTTATTGATGTTAAATAAATGTAAACATAAAATTGAGTATCGGTTTAAATTTTTACTGGTGTTTGAAACTATTTAACCAAAAAACAAAAAAAATTAACAAATAAACTAAACAGCAATCAAAATTAAAACAAGCAAAAAACTTAACCAAAAAACCTGCAATCTAGGGAATAATTTAGTAATTTCCTTTATAAAATGGAGAAACGAATCTTGACCTGACAACTTAACTTCAAGTCTGTAGAGGTGACAAATGTGATTCGTGAGATTGTCAGATATGTTACAACACTTTTTATTGACTCCTTTGAACCATTTTTAGATGAACAAATTTAGGATAAAATAAACAAACAACTTTAGTAATGTCTTGTTATTGTTTTTATTTAAATATTGAAATTAAATTCGAACGATGCAATATTAATATTGAACAGAATCAAAATCAATATTTTGATGTATAATCTGATAATATATACTGCAGGGTTTTTGGGGAACTGTAACCCCCCACACATATGACTAAATAAGATCTGATATTGGTCTGCAATTTTCAGTGCTTCAGTTGTGTTTTTAGATGCCTCAGATTTTTGTTAACATTTGTACTTTTAATGCCTTTGCATTAACTTAAAATCATTCGATAGGCCCATTTCCTTCTCATCAGTTTTCAAATGTTCATTCCGGCTTATGTTTAGTATACCTAAATCTAAAGGTGACTCGTATTTGTACGAGTACCTGGCAAGAGACAAGAGATTAAGTAGTACGAGAACCTGGCGTATTTGTACCTGGCAAGCAGACCAGAATGTAAAAAAAATTAATCAAAACGTTAAATGACCATAAGATAGATTCAGTTAATATTTTTGATCTCGGAGAAATTTATTGCACTGTTATTTTCAGCTTAAAAATTGTGTTTCTTGTGATATAATATAAATCAATACAGGTTCCCATGGTCACGTTCTCCTATAACAATTAATAAGTAAAAGTAAGTTTTTGTATATGTATTTCAAAACCAGGGAACTAAGATAAAGCAAAATTTAAAAAAATGAGCCAACTAAGTTGGTCCTGATACTACATAAAATATCTAGCTAAATTTAGATCTGTCAAGCTTATTAGATGGCTATCAGTCTCCTACTAAGCTCACCTTCTTTTTTGGCCCATGATACGATGGTACCCATCTCCATGGTTGGGGAAAGCGCAGGAAGCAATACTCTATTGTGGCTAGGGTATTCTTTTGATGAATAAAATCTTCGGGAATCATTATGTTGCTGAGCTAATGCACTTTTAAGTTGACGTGAAGTAGTTGAACTACTGAAAAACAATAATTAATGAAAATATTACAAACATATTTTAGACCAACTAGGCAACTAGCATGCAGCATGATTACATTTAGCGGCCTTTGAATTCTGCCTCCCAAAAGGCAGCGATGTTCGTGAGGATTGAGTTGAATGTGTCGCTGCCACACGTACTCCACCAAGTAGGTATAGTGCGCTGCGGCGGTTATGTTAGGTTGGTTATTATAAATATGTTTGTAAGGCTTTCCTTGTTTCGATACGAATTAAACGATACTAGATGAGTCATCACTCAGGACACTGATCCAGATACAGGCGGTGACAGGTGATGTGTGAGCTTTAGTCAACGACCTGACCAACCTACCTTGGTCTACTTGGAGGGGATTTGGCGGGCAAAAGTATGACTCATCAGGTATCGTTCGATTCATAACAAAACGAGGAAAGTCTGATTAACACCCCCTTCCCCCCCACTCTAATTGTTCTGTATTAAAAACGCATTAGTTGCATTAGACTACAGTGCTTAGTATTTCACCAACTTATTATTGTATTATTTTACTCATTAACAGATTTTCTCCGAGGATAATTCCAACAATCCACCAACCACCCTAGGGGCCTGGGGGCAAGCCTCCAGCGAGCCAAAGGCGAGTAATATATATACAATTTAAGTTTACATGTATCTCAACTAATTTCAGCAATAAAAACATGGGGAATTGGTTTGCAATATCATTTTATTACCTGTCGAAAGTTGTCTAGTCCCTGCAGAGTGAGCGGGATGTTAATGAATAGGGTGAGTTTTGATCATTTTCTGCCAACTTTATTTTCTTATAATATATATAAAATTTAAGTGTACATGTAGGTTACCTCAACTAATTTCAGCAATAAAAACGTGGGAAATTGGTTTGAAATATAGGCCTAATTTAATTACCTGTCGAAAATTGTCTTATCTATTTGGAGTGGGCGGTATGTCAATGATTAGGGTGAGTTTTGATAATTTACCACCACTTTTATTTCCTCACATTTTTTAAATTTAAATGTGGTTAACATGGTGTTTCGCGTACATCCTTATCGTTTATTAGGCCTATGTTTGTGATATGATTTTAATAGTGAGGTCACTTTTCAATTTAACAGACTGTACGGGACTGCACTGTGGAGGAGAAGTGGGGATGTCGAATTTCTCACTAGCCGTTAGCTGGCGTTAGCTGTCTTCTCGTTGGTTAGGTACTTATTGATAGTTTGCTACGCCGTCAGAAGTTCAGGTTAAGTGAAGAGAGTAACATGGTTGATGAGAAGAATAACATCGTTGATTAAACAGCATCATCGACTGTAGAAACATTTAAAGTTATTCTGTAGTCATTAATGTTTTCTATCAAGGGAGTTTTCGTCACATTATGGAGATATAGATTGACTGGTGGACTAATTACATGTAGTTCTTATTTAGGTATGTCTGGGTGGTGGGTCGTGCTTTATGTGAATTTGTGCCTGCATTTGAAGTGTTTTGAAGTTAGGTGAGATTAGGAAGGTAAAGTTTAGGTTAGCCTATAATGAATCGAGTTGTTAGTATATGTCGCCTGCATACTGTTTTTGTAAAATTAAAATTCTGAGAAAAACATTTCAAATTACTAGTCTATTTCAAAAATGTTACTGACCACAGTTCATTCCACTTGAAAATGTCCTAAGTTTACCTTGTTTATTGTAATGTTGTATGTGTTTACGATATTCATTAGCGGTGACAAATAATGGTAAGTTATATTTAGATTCAGGAGGTAAAAAAACATCAGTTATAAACTTACATTGAAATTTAAAAATTCGTTTGGAGGCACCTATACTAAATAATTACCTACCAGTTATAAATTATTGTTTAACTTATGTAGTTTATTTAGGGGTTAGGCCTATTGTATGCATTGAAGTGTAGTTACTGCAGTGGAAAATAGTCACCTTAAAATGTATAATTAACAAACTAGTAATTCAACAAAAAAATATAATAATTTTATCTCATGAAAGTTACTTCGTTTATAACCTTCAATAACGACCTTCATAACCTAGCCCTATGGTTAATCAAACTTAGTTTTATGAAATAGGTAGGCCTATATCTTTGCTTACCAGCTCTGAGAAAAAAATGCAGGTGTAAGATGCACTTGTAAATTCCGAGATAGTTTAACAAAATCTTTTCGAATAAGACTTCTAACAACTACGTTCCTCCACATTGTCACAACAAAATATCCATACAAGTTTCAATCAACTACACTCCCACTCCCCTCGCTAGACTCGACAGCAGAAAGAGGCGGTCAATCATCGTCTGCTCGGGTCAAGAAGATTGTGATACAGGTTGACCAAAGCTGCTACGTAGGTCCTACCACTAAATTTCCCTTTAATGCTCAATCAAAAATAGATACTGCACAGGGATACCTCAGTAGTCAGTATGTCTTGCATGGTCTTGCTTTCAATCCGATTGTTTCGTTAATTAATAGCCTTTCATGGGGAAAATCACAAAAGTTACGATAACTTTTGACCGTAATTTTTACAGATATTTAATGGGTTTTTATGGAAAAATTCCCATTATTTCTAAAAATGGAAAAAAACTCCGGAGACACCAGCAAAACCTAGATACAAAATTTAATAATTTAACAGGTGTGGTCTGTAGTTCTGTATCCACACAATACACATACGGACATACTCCAAGGCCCCACTAGAGCATACTCAGACAGAAATCACTTCGAAAACCACTGTTTTGGGGTTCAGGGAGACCCAAAACGGTAATATCCACCCAAAACTCAAATTCGAAAATTTTTAGGAAAATAATAAGTTCTTTACAATTATGGTATTGAGGGAGAAAGTAAAAATTGTGCTTAAGATTTAAGACCTGGGCGAAAGGTCTACCTACAGAGAAGTAATATAAATAAATAACAAATATAAATATAAAAAATAAATATAATTTAGATTACTTCTCTGTGGTCTACCACAGACTAACCAACACAATGGCATAGTTTTGATCTGTGTTATGCTGTATACCGAAAGATATCATAGATTGAACTTTTCTAATTTCAGTACATAATGGTAAAAAATTAATATAGCTTATTCAATGTCTGAGTATCTAATCTGAGCTTTTTCTTTCGCAGTTTCTATAACTATGTATTTACATCATCTCCAGGTCCAGCTGGCGCTAGTTTGATCATTTTTATCTTTTTTAGATCCTCCTATCCCCACGGATAACACATGTTGTGTTGTGTTGCCGTTTTCGAAGTGACTATTCGCACGTCAAAATGCTCCACTTCCCGTTCCCGTTCCAGCTCCAGTTCCAGTATTACATAATGCAAAGGGAACTTTCAGAACAGAATGTCCAGTTCCAGTTACTGTCACCATCACTGTCACTGTGTCACTGAAGCCATTTATTTTTAATGACTAACACTGTGATCTTGAAGACTTGAAGCATTAGAAGAATTTATTTCAAAAAATGATTACGAGGAAGTTATGGATTGAACGTTCAAGAACAATCGATGAAGCCAGAAAGAAAGTTATTAAAACACATCACAGGCCTAAATGATAATTTGAAATAATAAAGTTATGAATTGACCTACAGATCCATAGCCTACACAGTGGTATATAGGCAGTACAGTAGTAGGCCTACTGTATGAAACCCCATTTGATTAAGCTGGGGACAAACAGCTGTTTTCTGGACTAAAATCCTTGCATGTGAAGTTCGTCAAAATAGTGTAGTGTGGCATAAAAAATAATTATATATCTATTCTAAGACTAGTAAAATTTGGTTTAAGCTCTTTCTAGATTCAAGAAAAGACAATAACAAATACAATTTAATTAATCCAGAATCATGTGTTTCAATTCTTGAAGTTAACGTAAACAAAATAGCCTATCGAAAACCTTAATTAAATTGTCACAGTACTGTATGTCAATTTCTTCCAATGAATAAATGACACAGGCATAACTATTTGGGAGAGCCAAAATATTATCACAAGCTTTCATGTTTTTGTTCATGTTGTAAAAATAGCAAAATCATTATAAATACTGGTTTTTTTATGAATCAAGTATATATTATAATAAACAAACCTAAAAAACCATCAATAGGTCCTCAAGGCAATGAGACTATTTGAGAATGAGTTCATAATGAAAGGTAAAAACAAACTCAAATTGCAGATACAATTTAATAAGCCAACCATAATCCTTTGACAGCAGTTGGCATGGAGTTGTTCTCACTGTCAAACATGATACGAGTCAGAAAGTGGATATCCACATAAAAGTATCTATATATTTTATAGCAATTATAAAATGATTTATTAATCAAGATAAAATGTCAAACGGGATTTTGATTGCATAATTACCCCAGTAATAAATTAAGGAGGTCGTAAAAATTATCTGATTAATCTTTTATGTGCTTTTAACCAACCACTAGTTTGAATCCCCCCAAAATCATAAAATCCCCCCCAAATAAATTTCTGATGTCGCATTTTGCGACAAACCCCCCTGTGGGCACCCCTGGCCAGATCCCATCCATTTTGGCCAATATGAGGTACTGTACTACCGTTACCGTTCCTAATACTAGGTTATCTTTGTGTGTAACCTGTTCCCAAACAGCTATAACAGTTACTAGAATAGGAACGTAATGTGACGTCATTTGGAACAGACGTGCGTGGGTGCGTGGTAGCGGCGCACGTCTGACGTGCGAATAGCCACTGCCTTTCGTTTTTCACTCGACGTTCTGTACCCACGAGCACCTTAGCTTCCACATGCACATAAGGCCTTGGAACAGCTCCTGCGATAACAGCTATTTGTTTAATAGCTTCACTGCATATCTTTATTGGACCTGTTTAGATAGTTGTTTCAACAGTTGCAGTCGCGAACTGTGCATTGTGATTTGAAGGTGTTTATTCTTTACTGTTTCGTTTGTTTATTTTTGACTTGAGCTGCTTGAAAAGGTGTTTTATGTTTATGATTATGAAAATTAAAGTGTTGTGAGTGTGCTGAAGCTGATTATTTGTTATTAGGTACGGTATTGACAATTAAATATTTTTCGTGCATGAATTATTTGTTAAATTTTAAACGTTCACTTAACCTATATTTTTCGGATCCCTCAAGAAATGATTGTTGGTTAGGTTGAGTTGTGTTTGTGTATGAATTTGTTAGATTGGAGTTTTGGTAGTGGTAGGTCGACTAGGCATTGACTATTGGATGTATTAATAGTCAAAGGTCTAGGTTTATTTTGATTGTTAGTTGGGCCTTTCAGTGGAGTTTAGGTTTATAAGTTATTGCCTTTAAAAAAGTTAAATTAATAACTTATCTATTTTTAAGAGTAGTCCTAAGTTTACCTTAGAGGTTAACTTAGACCTACCACTACCAAAACTGCAATCTAACAAATTCACACACAAACACCTAACCTAACCTAAAGCAGGGTTTTCCTCACTGAGCTATAATTCTAACTGGAGGTAGCACTGAATGTCAAAGATGCGTGTCGCCAGCCGCCATGTTTGCGTGAGTCTGGTGTCATAAGAAGCCATATTATTGCTATAACTATTATTATACTTGGCTTAAAATACCTACTTTGTATGGTCGCCATTTCAAAGAAAATTATTAAAGTATTAAAAGTATTCAAGTATGACAAAAATACTCACTGCTATACCAACCTAGTTATAAGAAGCCATGTCATTGCTATGATAAGAAAACTTACTGCAATACCAACCTAACAAAATCAGCGACTCGCTTTTGACAGACTTCTGCCATGGCAGTGCTACCTCCAGTTATAATTTTAGCTCAGTGGTTTTCCTAGGCGCGTAGTCGGCTAGCGGAGAGAGGAACGCGGAGAGCGGAATTGAAATTAACATGGCATTCCGCTCCGCTTCTAGGAAAACAGTAACATTAAATTGCCTAAGACAAGTGGAGTCCGCTCTCCGCGTTCCTCTCTCCGCCAGCCGACTCCGCGCCTAGGAAAACCCAGCTTAATAATCACTCTTTCTTGAGGAATCCGAAAAATATAGGTTAAGTGAACTTAAAACTTCATAACTTGATGCACGTAAAATATTTAATTGTCAATACCGTACCTAATAACAAATAATCAGCTTCAGCACACTTACAACACTTTAATTTTCATAATCATAAAACACCTTTTCAAACAGCTCAAGTCAAAAGCAAACAAACAGTAAAGAATAAACACCAAATCACAATGCGAATGCATAGTTCGCAACTGTAACTGTTGAAAGAAACAACTATCTAAACCGGTCCAATAAAGATATACAGTGAAGCTATTACACAAATAGCTGTTATCCCAGGAACTGTTCCAAGGCCTTCTGTGCTTGTGGAAGCTGAGGTGCTCGTGGGTACAGAACGTCGAGTTTTCGTTTTCACCTTCGTTTGTTCGTCGTCTGTTTTTTTTTTTAGGGTTTGGTTGTTTTGTAGTAGGGTGGAGTGTGGCCCAGTGTGGGTCGTTCGTGTTCCTGTTTGTTTGTCGTCTGTCAAAGATTTGAGTCAATATTTCCGTGTATCTTTTTCAATTCAATAAACCCATACATTAGTTATATTATTTTCCTCTCAAAATGATGTCAATGAATATGTCGGCAATTGCATCAGCAGAGGCCCAATTTATTACGACAGGAAGTCGTCCAGCCAAAAAAGAAAAGCTTAGACCTTGTTGTGTTTGCAAGGAAACGAAAATGGCCAGAGATGAATGGTATGTAAGATTGTGGGATATTATGCTGAGGATTAAATAATTACCACACAATAATCTACAACACACAGTAATAAACTTAAAGTCCATAACAGTTTATGTTACGTAACTGAATTATATAACGTGGGGTCTTACAACCAAAATCATACATTGCTCTTTAGTTTCATCATAGGTAAAACATAAAACTTTCTCATTCCCTTGGATCAGCTGGACAAAAATTGTATTATTGTAAAAAGGTTTAAAATACCTGTAGGCCTAATACTAGTGTCTCGGGGGTCCTGGTCAGAAACCAATGAGAACCTCTTTTGCGAAGGAGTAGGGGAAGTGACGTCACTCTCTTCTCTTGATGGAACACCATTACCGCAACGATACGGTATGCAACCATCAGTGGTTATTGTTAAGTTTAAACAAATCACCTACAATCGGTTTTCGTGGCGTAGTGGATAGAGAACTCGGCTGATGTCCATGAGGTAACCACCAGATCGAATCCCACCGGTGACACTAACTTCTTGTTAAATATTTTGCTTGGAAAGTGATTACTTCTTTTGTTTACTGTACATCTTTTGTTAGCATTTGAGGCATATAATTTTATAGGCTCTAAGTTAATTAACAGAGCTATTATTC